TTATATATCAGGACTTGGGGAAGAAGACATGTTTCCTTTCTCAGAGCCACAGGTCCTCAGAATAATCCTGATTCAGGTCCAAAAGAAAAAAAAAGAGGATGCCATGCTTGGCTGGAGTTAGAGAACCAGTCAGACATCAGCTGCAGTCTGTAGATTGATAGATATTTCAACATAGACTCGTCTGTTCAGTCCAGCAGACATAGTTTGATCCTCGTCCTCAACAATGGGTCAGGTTCTGACTGGATCTACCCCAAAAGAATTCTCTGATCCCATTCTAAAGGATCTGCTCCTGCTGACAAGCACACAGTGATGGTGGAGAGAAAAACAACCAGAACAAGGCTCAGTGTGAGTGGATTTTGGATTTGAATGAAGATTCCAACTTCCTGGAGCAGGAAGAGTCCACATTCATGTTCCCGCCTAAGTTTCCCGGACAGATGTCTTTATTTCTTTCTGGTACATGAAGTCATCGAAACAGGTCGCCTTAAAACCAAATCCACATTGACGTTAAACATGGTTCAGACGGACGCCAAAAACTGGATTCTGGATCATCTGCACTTTAAATCAATTAAACCCTTGTTATTCTTTAATATTTTCCAAGGCATTGATATCGAGTTTGAAAGTTTAGTATGTTGACATCCCTTGTGTTAGCTTAGCCTCCTAGCTTGTAGCCTTTGGTGGTACTGCTAGCGGTCTGAACCAGGTAGCTGCGTCTTTCCGGGTCATTTCGACTGTGGCGACGGTTTTAGATGATTCCCTGTTTTAATGAAAAGCAGACGCAGTAGAACAGAACCGAGCCGACCCACATAGAGTAGAGGAGGGGGAGTGTACCACGAGAAGATCAGAAGGAGATGAAGAAAAAAGAGGAGGTGGAGTCAGAGGTCAAAGTTCATGTCTCCATAGATCAGGTGTTCCTACTCGACGACCTGTTTATGCCATGTGCTCCATCAGTGATTTCATCACTCTGACATCACTTCCTATTGCAGGTGTAAGGCGGTGATTGACAGCCGAGGCCAGCGAATCAGCTGCAGCCATGTGGTTCTGGAGGACAGTTACCTGGACGCAGACAGGAAGCGGACAGCCACACCCCCCAGGTGAGGAGAGAAACATGGCGAGGACCGTTCCTCCTAGGTTTATTACTGGGGATGACGATGTTGATGGTGTGGTGTGTGTCCAGGTATCTGAGCCGGGCCGTCCTCATCACAGATGCCTCGGTTCTGCCCTCAGACCCGGACCAACAGGTAACTCCGCCTCGATTGCTGGAGGTCAGCATGAAGTGATGTCAGAAAGCAAAGCTGTTGAGTCACAGGCAGCGCTGGTCCAGTTCAACCAGAACTGGTTCTAAAGCGGCTCCAGATGGGTTAATCTGAACTGGGTCTAGTATAAATGGTGATGACATCACTGGCTAATCAACATCCCATTGCCTAGCATGTTTAACTCAGTCGCAGTGGGTTCTGAACCCAGAGGACTTGAACAGAACTTTCCTGTCAGCTGACCTCTGTAAGAGGATCTGCCCTGGTTCCGCCCTCAGAACCGGTCCAATTTCTGTGCAGAAAATCATGACCCTGACTTCATGTTTGGTTCTGGACCTGGGGCAGGTGGCAGACATGATGGACCTGCTCAGGTTCCTCCAGGTGACATCAGGAGCACAGCTGGGAATGATTGCATCAGGGAACAGCAAGTGGGCGGAGTTTGTTCTGTTCCTGCTGATCCAGGACCATTCATCCTGTCTCCTCAGATCTCCATGGTAACGGTTCCTCCCACCACAACAGGAGGTCCTTCAGTGAAGATGGTGGAGCTGAGCTCGTCCACCATGACCTGCATCCCTGGAACATGTGAGTTCACCTGCAGCCTCTGAAGGTTCTGGTTAGAGGGTTCAGGGTCCAATAAGCTCCCTTTGCTGAAAGGGTTTAGAATGAGTCAGCAATGAAGATGATGCAGGTCTGTGAAAACGACCAGAACCTGCTGAACAAACTCCTGAGGGAGAAAGAGCTGAAAGAACAGAACCCCTCAGAGAGAAGTCGACTAAAAGTCCAACTCAGACTGAACCGGCGGGAGCTGCAGGTCCAGACCAGAGCAAACGATCAGCAGAATCAGTGAACTATTAAAGTATCAGCGACTTTGTTAGATCAGGAAAAAGATGAACATGAAGAAACAGATTAGTGAGCAACAGCTGGGGGCCTGTTACCGTAGACACGTCTGTTACCTTAGAGACAGCTGCCAGTATCCTATCATCAGCTGTTTCCTCTTTCCAGACTTGGTCCATCTCACCTGCCAGTCGGTTGGCTCCGCCCATGAGGACCTGTTGCCCGTGGTAACCAGGATATTCAGAACCACAGAGCCTCAGGAGGAAGGTAACACACACACACACACACACACATTCTGATCTTGCTATATGTAATGGGGACCATTGAGTTTCAGCCCTTTCTGAACCCAGAACATTCACTTTGAATACACATGTCTATAAAGTTTTCATTTTAATCAGTGTAGAACTAATCAATCTCTGCCATCATAGATCTCTTCATACTCCATTAGATCCTCCCCTTTCTATCTAACTTTTTATTTTTAATGCCATTACTAATCGAAATACCATGTCATGATGATGCCTTTAGAGTTGCTTCCTTCAAACTTCCTGTTTCCTCTAGTTGCTGCGGCCAATCCTTTGATTTGGACTCAGGCTGAACTTACTGGTTGGCTCCCAGCTCTTAAAATGTTGTTTCCAGGTCCTCCTATCTGGGTTGGCTTCAGGCTGTTTAGTTGATTTTAATAATGAAGGTTTTTTTTTTTAATTTAACTGTGTATTAATGGTTAGTTTATAAAGAATGTGTGTCTATTTAGAGATAAAATGGCCTCATACTGGAACCAGAACAGGAGCAGCTGCTTCTGGTCTGAGTGAGTTCAGATCCAGATGTCTCCTCATGCTGTCCATCTGTCCTCAGACCGTCGTCCCTCTGTCCTCTGGTGTCTGTACTTCAACATGGCCGATGGGTCAGCGCTAGAGGTCGAAGGTCACCGCGTACCATCCAACGTGTACGTCTGCTCTGGTCCAGATGGAGCGCTGGGACACGAACACACCATCAGACAGGTGAGCCGTCCCGCTCCACTGAACAGAATCTGGCTGATGTTTGGTTCAGTTACCGTCCGCTGGTTCAAACCGGTTACTGCAGGGTTCCTGCTGCATTCAGAGTCGCTGGAAGTTGTCATATTTGATGTCAGGCTTGTTCCTGGGTTACAGGAACCAGAATGAAAGTTTGTTCTGTTTTTAGGCTGAGTCCATCTTCCAGAAGATCCTCCCAGAGGAGGAGTTCTGTCCTCCTGCTCCAAACCCTGAAGACATCATCTATGATGGAGACAATGCGTCCCCTGGAGAGGACAGAGCAGCAGTGGAGAACGGAGGGAACCAGGAGGAGAACCAAGAGAAAGAAGGAAACCAGGAGGAGAACCAAGAGAAAGAAGGAAACCAGGAGGAGAATCAGGAGGAGAACCAAGAGAAAGAAGGAAACCAGGAGAATCAGGAGAAAAAAGGAGACCAGGAGGAGAATGGAGTGAACCAAGAGCCTGAGGAGTAACATGAACCTTCACCACTTTATTTTCTGCTCTGATCTTTGGCATGAAGGCAGCAGCTGCACTGCTGCCACCTGCTGACCGCAGCCTGAACTGCACCACTCAAGGTTCTGGGAGGAGACCCATCAGAACTCTGTTGCGTTTGGACCCTTGGTTCTATTTATGCTGTATGTTTTCTTTATTGGATTATGTAGATGACAGTTAATGTTTTTCTGTTGCTGTAAGCATCAGTTCTTGTTGGTTCTACTGGGTTCTGATCCAGGTTTCACCACCGATGTCAGATCATTCAGCAGTATTTGGCCAAACACATTTAGCCTTTGGATGATAAGGTAACAAATAAACCAAGTTCCTATATCAGCATCAATGTTCTCAGGTTTTAAAAAAAAAAATTGTTTAACTCATTTTTAAGAATTTCATGAGGCACATTTCTACATATTAGGTCAAACTGATTTTTTTTTAATGAATTCTGCCATGAAAAGGTTTAGTTCCAACCTCGAATCTTCCCCTCAGCGCCCTGGAAACGGTAAAGTGTCTTTTTTTTTTCAATCTTCTGAAGGCAAATTCCATTATTTCGGAGCGTCATCTGTTAAAAGGAACCCAGAATTCATCCCTGATGAATAAAGCAGGTTCACTTCAAACCATTACTGGTAGCAGTGGGTTCTGGACCGGCCCGGAAACGCACCGTTCAAGCTGTTCCGTCTAACACCAAAATCTCACATCCTCCACATGCTCCCTGCTTAGCTGCAGACCGCCTGTGCAAAACAAAGCCTAAAGCCTCCATGGTTCCTTAATAGTGAATTTTTTTTTTAATTCATAGGAGAAAAACTAATTTCTGCTCAAACGTTTCCTTTTCGTTGTGGATCTTTGCAATAGGGATAATTAGCATAATGCAAAATTGGTTTATTCTCTATTTCCAAACTCAGCATCTCTTCATCCATGCCTGCAATAAGAAGTTTCTTTTGAAGTTGTGACTGGATTTGATAAGTTTACATTTATTGGCTGCATCTAAAAATATCAGTGTATGAAGGTCCAGCAGGATTTTGACCCCGCCAGCTTCCAACAGACCGGTGTGGAGCAAAAAATAGCTTGACTCTGTATTTTGACGGTGAAGATGTTCATAGCCGGTGAGGTGTGGAGAAGTTATGGTGGATGTGGAGCAATTCTCATTGATGATTTTGCAAGTTAGCAGAGCAGTGACAAGATGTGGAATCTGGGGGTAAGATCAAAGGTCCAGTCTCTCTAACAGAAGATGCTGTTGGCATAGCTGATAAAGTCAGTACCAGGGCTGGTTCTGGACCACAGCCCAGAATTGTCAACATGTGGAATAAATATTTAAGGCTTTAAAACCCAACAGATCTATAATTCTGAACCTCTAGACAGTTTTTTTTTTTTTAAATCGGCTGTGGTTCTGCTGACCCATTTAACACAAAGACAGACTGGGGTTCAAACTGAGGCTTTTATTGTGAAAATCAAACAGCTCTTTACAGACGGCGACCACGGCGACCGCCCTTCCTCCTGGTGGAGTCCGATGGGATCGGAGTGACGTCCTCTGAACACAAGAAGAAACAGAACACGATCAGACCAACAGAACCAGACTGCAGCTTCAAGGCCCAGAACCAGAAAACCTTCTGCTTTGGTCCGCTGGTTCTGGACCTGCTAGTCTAGAGATGGATGTTCTAGAACCTGCAGCATTTCCACACAAAGCTGATCTATGAAGATCCAACTGAAAGGTCCGGTTCCTCTGACCCATTTAGAAGCTGCCCATGGTTCTGAACCTGTTCTAGCGGCCCATCAGAACCAGCCATTAAAGTAGAAATGAAACAGCTAACAAAACAATTTTAGCAGATTGTTTTCCCGTTATCAAATGAAAAATATTAGGGCTGAAACAATCTGAAACTGATTACTGACATAATCTGCAACTAAATAGTAATTAATAGTTAACTGGAGTATAGAACCTGTACTGGTATCTAAATTGTTAAAAACATTTCTAATGTCTAATATGCTCTACCCAGAACTCCTAAAGTGGAAAGGTTTTAGTTTCACCAGGTTTAAATTAGCAAAAGGTCAAATTATTAATTGATTAATTGAAAAGAATACAGATTAAATAAATGTACAAAGTAATCATTACTGGCTCCTCTAAAATATATAAAGATGTAGCATTTTATCATCTCTAAGCAGGGCGCTGCCATGTCGCAATACTTCAAACACTGTAGTCGCAGCGTGGGTTGATGCCTCAGCTGGAAGTCGAATATTTTATATATCGCCGCTACCATACAGCCTAATGGAGGCCAGACGCAGCTGAAAGGACTAGAGCGTCTAAACCACTTTGCTTCTGAGTGTGTGAGGAGAGAAGAGGCATCTGTGGAGATGCTCTGACTCTCAGTTACCAAACGATCTGCCTTTTTTAGTGAGTGCGGAGAGTTTGGCTTTACGGACATTTAAATCTGAGCCGAGGTGGAAACAGAGTTAGCCATGCTGTCCCTGAAGGACCTGAGAGAGGAACATGGAGCTACAGGGCAGTCCAAGAATAAAGCCGCAGGATGGCGAGGGAGAACAGAGACCTTAAGATATCCTGCCCGTCATGGATCACGGTTAGAGAGAATATTTCTCTGGAGGTTTTGACCCGATGTGGTTCCTGCTGAGGGACCCTGAGCTGCAGAGATGTTTTCATCCTGATGTCTGCTGCTTGAGTTCTAAAAACAGTGATAAACTGAGAACTAAGCTCTACTGACGGACGTTTGGCGATGGCGCTTTATTGCTGCCGCTGACCCACTGTCAGATTTTGATGGTCAGTAGAACCCGACTTATAGGCGGTGAAATAATATCATCCTGAGCTGCTTTAGCTACTAGCTCTCCAGACTCTAGTGTTCTGCTCAACATCCTAACAGCTTCCTCTTCTCTCAGACGCCCAGCGGGCTCGGAAATGTAAGCAAAGTGATGTAGCTGCTCTAGTCTCCTTTCAGCTTCATTCCCATCAAACCAAGATTTCTTCGATGATTTTATTCGACTGCTGGCTGAAACATCAACCGACCAGGAGACATCAGCGTTTGGAGCACTGCAACATGGCAGCGTCCTGCTTAATGATGATAAAAATGCTTCATTACCACATTTATAATATCAATAATAAGAGGCAATCTGGTAAATTAAAATGTTTTTTGGCTACCAGCTTTATTTCCATTTTTGAAGCTCCATCATCAGCTGCTGTGGGGTTCTGGTACCGAGCAGCGATCTGGTCTCAGAATAAAACAGGCCTAGTCAGCTGAAGCTGGTCGGTACCTTAACATCTGCCCCAGCAGTTGAGTCAATTTGAACAGAATCATTTTTAAGTGACATTTCTCTCATCAGTCTGTTCCGAGTGGGAAACCAACTGTTGATCTATTTGGCACAGATTTGCGGGTTATAGATCCAGCCATGGTCCAAATGGACCTATGACCTCAGCACTATCAGACCCAGAGCTGAGAACCGGATCAAACTGCCCTCCTGTTGAGACCAAGGGCCACTGGATATTTGACCCAGTGGAATGAGAACATCCCATAATACCAACTGGATTCTGCCTCCATATTCAACAGAACCCCTCAGATGTGTCCTTCACCAGCCCGACCCAAACCCCCCCAGAACTCCAACAGGAACCTACCGATGCGTCCGATCTTCATGCCGGACCGGGCCAGAGCTCTGAGCGCAGACTGAGCTCCGGGTCCAGGAGTCTTTGTCCTGAAACAGACAAAATGATCAGAACCACAGCCTCCTACCAAACCCGGACCATCAGAACCGCACGCCTACCTGTTCCCTCCGGTGGCCCGCAGCTTGATGTGCAGCGCCGTGATGCCCAGCTCCTTGCAGCGCTGCGCCACGTCCTGTGCTGCCAACATGGCGGCGTAGGGAGACGACTCATCTCTGTCGGCCTTCACCTTCATCCCACCTGTCACACGGCAGATCGTCTCCCTGGAAACACAAACCCATCAGAACTGGACCGGGCGAGCGGCGGTCAGGGCAGCAGCGGTGGCAGACTTACTTCCCGGAGAGGTCTGTGACGTGGACGAAGGTGTCGTTGAAGGAGGCAAAAATGTGGCAGACGCCAAACACGTTCTCTCCTTCGGCCACCTGGGGACCCAGGCTGATCACCTGCTCCTCCTTCTTCTCCTTCCCTTTACGAGGAGCCATGTCTGCTGAAGAGCAAAGCAGGACATTAAGCAGCAGCAGAAACTGCATCAGAACCCAAACAGTGACTAAACATCAGGAGGAAAAAAGACGGTGGCCTGATGGGGTCAGAGCAGAGAGTCACTAAGTATATGATTGGAGCGTCCAGATGCTTTGACCATCATGATCTTCATGAGGATGATGAAGCTGGTGCAGATTTAATCAGAACTGAGCTTAAACTGCTGCCCGATAATAGAAGCACACATGGAGGTCCAAACTGCTACCTGAAGCAGTTCAGAACCAGAACCACCTGTCACCGGGTGGCTCCGTCCTGTGGAAGGTTCATTCATGTTTACCTTAAAATTAGCTGCTTCAGAACTCAGAGGCTATGCTAACGTTAGCTTCTTGCAGACACCGATGATAAGACCGAACATTTCTGTCCCGCTAAAGATCCCAAACAAAAACAAAAAAAATATCACTTCGCTTAACTGTTCTATATTGTCTAAAACAACAGTGCTATAATGCCTATACACATTTGAATGGCCTCCATCTTCATCTGGACGCCCAGCTAACATGGCGACACGTCGCAGTCGAAAAACATTAGGGGAAAACTGGGAGAAACGAACCTTCAAAAAAATTACAGAAATAGAATTCAGACCCAGCTGGACCCTAAAATCATTAATCCTTCATAAAACACACCTTAGATGTTCGGATGGTGACCCGGTAGAAAGATTAAAGAGGATTTATTCCTCGGCTGGACTCACCTTACAGTGTCTCTTTAGTGAGCTCAAACAGAAAGGAAGGAAGCTTCGTTAACGGAAACAGAAATAAGGACTTCCTGCTGCCGCCGGTGCTGCCCCCTGCTGGACTTTCAGCAGAACAGCAGCGCATTCACTTTTAGATGCATACCGTTATCATATCGGAGGATGTAACATGATTTATTTATATCGAACCGAGCCATCAGCTCCGGGGCTGGTCAGCCTGTAGCTCTGTGATGAAAGTTGGTGGGGACACATGGGAGGAGGCTAATGGACCTACAGTTACACTTTCATTAGGCTAATTTTCCAAAAATGAGCTCAAACATCTATTTATTTAATGCTTTCCTATTTTTGAGGACACAAGACCACAACACACTGATATTTATATTTATAGATGTTATAGAGATCCCTTTTAGTGTATTACAAATATAGGGCCATAAAACATCAATGCATAAAAAAAAAAAATATTAATTAAAGCTAATTCCAATGCAGGAACTGATATCTGCATCCCTAAAAGTACAATTTCAATTCCATCCAGAAAAAATATCGATATGCTGCATTTTAAATATAGCACAGCATATTTTTTTCCTTGCAAAATTTGTGGTAAAATCTTGTTTTCACCTTTTAATCTTGAGCTCTCTTCTCTCTGTGTTCTGTTTAATAATATTGATCAACCCATTTACTAATATGATGATTCCAGAAACAAGATATGTAGAAGCTCTGCAGTCTGATTCTGTCTGATCAATAAGAAAACATGTTAATTTTAAGCTGTAGTTGGGAGTGATGGTCCTCTGAGAAGCCTAGATTTTTTTAAAGAGGAAAGAGCTGTTTTCTCAAGCTTCTTGCGTTATAGCAGCTTGTTTAAACTTATAATCTGCTACCCTTTTTAGTTGAAACAGCTCTGTATGTCTAACAAACAGATTTTTCGGTGGCATCTCTAATTATTTTAACCAACCCGTCTCCTAACTTTTACTTAAACATCAAAGTAGCTG